ATTAGATTGTATTTACTGCCAAACTATTATGTACGACTCTATCCTTGTATCTGCGATTGTATGTTGGTCAGGCGCTTGAGAGGATTTCATCCTAGAGCGCTATACAAATAAAGCAATCAATCAATCAATCAATCAATCCCACGATTAACATGGTTTTCAGGATAAATTTTGATATAACTTACAGATTGGCATTTTTGCATCATCCGATTAATAGTTCTCTACTTCCGTTTTATACCCAGTTATCAAGTTTGTATCAGGCTGTATAGCTCCTCGTAGGAGCTGAAGCCCAATTATAAGAAAAAGAAGAAAAAGAAGAAGTGAAATAATGTAAAAATCGATCGCCGTCGACGCGTTATTGCAATAGGTGCTATAGCTGGACATAATTTATTAAGATTAGTTATTGAAAAACTTAAAGATGAAGAAAGCAGTAATGATGAATATGACAGATGGAATCAAGAAGCAAACATGTTTGAAGCACAAATTCGTCGGAGATATTTAAAACGTGTCACATGAATTAAAGGTTATGTCACAACAACAATATATGACTATACAGGAAGGCAGTTCAAAGAACATTTTCGAATGAGTAGAGCAACATTTGAAAATTTAGAACAAATATTAGCACCTTATTTAATAAGGACAGCAGCAGGTGGAAGATTTGCTTTAGATGTTCGGACACAATTGCAGTCCTGCTGGCAACTCCTGATTTATTCAAGTAAAGTCATCTCAAACGATTGTAAAATACAATTTTTATTAAGAAAGAAAAAGCTAATTTTATTAACGCGCGATTTTTATTTTTATAGATCTGTATCTGACCGCTTTGATATTAGTAAATCATTGTTGCATGATTCCATGAGAAGAGTTGTGGCTGCCTTAAATAATTTAGCTGATAGAATTATTAAATGGCCTGAAGGTGAGCGATTAAATGAGGTCAAACATCGATTTTCACAGATTGGCTTTCTTCCTGATGTGATTGGAGCAATCGACGGATGTCACATTTCTATCCCAGCACCTAAGGCAAGTCTAGTTATTCATAAGAATTCATAGAAAGTACTTAAAAATATTGTCTGTCATCAAATTATATTTATACAGGTCCATTTCCTCTTTTATAGAACAAGGAAGAAAGAATATGCTGTGGACGGAAGTGGTGATAGGAGATCAGGAGAAGGAACGTAATGAATAGTAATTCACAAATGACTCCGGTTGATATTAACAGCTTGGATATATTTTGGAATATTTACAAGGGTAGGAAATGTCAGTGTAAGATTCGTAAAAGGATTGACTCAAGGAGAGGTAAGTCGGGAGAAGTAAGTCGGGTGGCCCCCGAAGGTGCCGGCGCCGGAGGGTCGGAGGAGCTAGTGGTCGTTAGGCGGAAAGTTCTCCTTATCGCTGTCGAATAGCTTTCTGAGCCGGGCCTGGAGGAGCGGGTTGAGATGCTCCGAGGATATTGACCGGATCGTTGGGCCGGACGATCCGTTTGGCCCGGAGATCCCGGAAGCGCTCCGGGGTTCTGGAACGCTTGCTGGACTCCGTGGATTGCCGGGGACTGGCAAGCGCGCCCTGCGGAGGTTCCGGCGAGCGGGGACGCTTCGCTGACTCGGTCGGTAGACCCGGAGGCCGGTCCGGAGTTGTCGGTGGCTCGACCCGCGGGCTCGGAGGACGTCCCGGTGTCCTCGGCTTCCTGGGCGTGGACGGCGGCGGACTCAGCGGGGACAGAACCGTCGGGGGTGCCCGGACGACGGGATTGTCCATTTGAGTCGACCTGGAGACTTGGGTGACGACCGGTCGAGGTCGCGGGTCTGCCAGCCTCCACTTCGTCACCGTCGCGTCGGACAGGTCCACCAGAATCAGCTTCCACGGAAGGTAGGATACTCCCGGATCTAGTCGTTCCCTAGGCGAACCGGGGGCCGACGGAGGAAGGCTCCTGGGTCGCGAAACGGGTGCCTTCGCGGCTGGGGGACGGTCCAGTCCCCGTTTCCTCGTCCGCGGCGTGGTGGAGGTCGATGTCCAACGGTAGCGTAAGACGGCCCGGATGGGCAGCGGCAAAGAAGGCAGAGGCCCTGGCGAGTACTCCGAATCGGAAGGTCGGGACTCCCGCTTCCTTCCGAATTCGAAGAGCTGAGCTCGCTCTGCCGACGGTTATGGTTACCTCAAAATACTCTCGGAATAGTGGCCTAGGTAAGCTCGCACTATTCCGAGAGCAAGGAAACTTGCTGGAGACCACCCACGGAGCCATAGATGTAGCCGGCGTGGGTGAATTTTAATTACGAGAAAGTAGTGGCGCCTGCGGCACCTAGCGGTGGCGCCGCGCACTACTCTCGTCAAGTGGCGGGCGCGTGGGCCCGGCGTGCGAGCCAGGCGCGCGTGCTGTACCGTAAGCGCACCGCCACAATGCTGTTACACTGCAGGCTATGTGCGATGCAAACCTAGTATTCACAGACTGCTTTGTTGGGTTTGCTGGCTCTGTTCATGATGCCAGGATTTTTAGGAACTCTGAACTCTGGCATGCAGTAATGGCAAATAAAGATGCCTGTTTTTCTAACAATGAGTACATTATGGGCGATAAAGCTTATCCGGTACTGACGTGGTGCTTAGCTCCATATATCAACAAAGGCAATATGACTGCAGTATGATCAATTGTAAATTTTAAAATTTTTTATTATTATTCTGTTTATAATGGTGTATATTTTAAGTATATTGATTGTATATTTATTCACTACTGTAATTTTAACTAGCTGTATAATAGATAAGGAGAATTCAATTTAAAGTTTTAATTATACATGTAACAGGAACTTGTTTAATATATGCATAATACGCTGTTTTAATTAAACCTTGTTTTTCTGTTTGTACAGGTACAAAAAAATTTTAATAAGCATTTGTCGAAAATAAGACAAGTTGAAAGGGCTTTTGTTCTTCTTAAAGGAAGATTCCGACGGCTAAAGTATTTGCATATGAGTTGCGCTGATCTGATACCATACGTCGTTTTGGCATGTTGATTACTTCATAATATTTGCCTTGAAGGTTGTGAAGATGATATAAATGATTTTATACGCGATAGTAGAAATCGAAGAAGATATTAATAATGATAATGCTAATGATATTATCCCTAATCGGTTACCTAATGACAAAAGAGGACTCATTCGCCGCGAATATATAACAACTCTGGTAGCAGATATTTTACCATAAAATTTTTTTATATAAACCATATCATGGCTAATACATACATTGACAATTAATTTATATATTGTAAATTAAAATAAAACTTATTTTTGTGAAAAAAATGCATAAATAGAAAAGAACTTATTTTTATTTTTGTGAAAAAAATGCATAAGTAGAAAAGCCAGTGGGAAATAGTACAAAATAAAAAAAAATCCAAATCAAAGAATAGACACACGTTCTACCTTTCTTCTCCACTCTTCTCTACTCTTCTCCTTTCGAGATCCCTCTTTTAATTAGATGGATAGATTTATATTTAATAGACTTTTATAACTTTAATAAGTGTACAACATTTCATAGATTTTACTAATTTACAAAAAATAAAATAAAAAAGAAATTTAAGGACGGTGTATTTTAACTTATACATACTTATTATATACTAGCGTAAGTTTATCACAGTAAGTCTTTATACGCAGAACAAATAATAAAGATTTGATAAGAACAAATAATGAAAAAACTTAAAATTTTGAAAAAAATCTTAAACCTCTATATATGAATGTTTTTTTAAATATTCTGCTTGGATGCAGTCATCATAGTACTATATATATAATCTTACATCTTCTCAATGAGTTTTTCCATTAAAGATTTGTGTGCTTCAACTGCTGCTCTTGATTCAGCTATAATCTCTTGATGTCGCCGTTCCTTCGCTTTCTCTCGAGTTTTTGCTTCGATAAGAAGGACAGACCAATCTTTTAATTCGCGTTGAATTCTAGTCATTTTCTTTTTCTTTGGCTCAGGAACTATTTCATTTTGAGTTGATGATCCAGAATCTTCAGTGACTTCTTCAGAGTCATTTTGTTCTTCAGAACTAACAATTATTCTTTTGTTAAGATTAGAGGCAATGGCAACGGGTTTAACGCACGGCTTATCGCCCAAAATCTCATCCAATTCTTCATAAGATTTGCAAGTGTTTGGATCATTCCCAGATCTATTATTATGATCTTTTGTTTCCGTGTATTTCCTTTTTATATCCTTCCACTTATTTTCACATTAGATTGGAGTTTTTTTCTTCTATTAAAGACAAGAATTTTTTAGTTCTTCCGATATTAAAGCCCATACATTCCGACTTCTCATAGTTTTAAAATTGTCTTGATGAATTTGCCACAAACGAATGAGGCATCTGACTTCATTATCATCTTTCCATGATGCTGTATTTGAAACTGTACAAGTTACATTTAAGTTAATATCAATATCTTTAAATATCAAAATATTTACTTCGTGTTTTGTAAAAAAAAATTGAAGAGCAAAAAAAGCTTCTACCTAATGACTGACTCTGTTCAACCATCATTGAACTCTGTTTGTCAATAGTATTGGAAATTGAACTCTGCTTGTCAATATTATTGGAACCATCATTTATATTAATTAATTGCTCCTCAGAAAACAAGTTTAAATCGAAGAACTTCATTGTTGCTTCACACACAGGTATGATAAAGATTTTGTTATCTGCATGATAAAATAATTATATTATCGATGGTAAAAATAATACATAAGTAACATTGTAAAAAATTTTTTAAATATGTAAATTAATATTATATAAAAATATTTTTTCTTAGTATGTGTTAAAGCAAAACATACAAAAGAAATTTAAACGTTTTCTTTTTTATAATTTCTGTTTATATTTAACGCCATAATGTAATGATTTACCTTGTACATCTTGCACAAGTAAATTTCTATCAGAATTAAACATAGGAACATTTCCGTTCATTATTACTTGATGTCTTCCTTGAATCAATGTAATATTTATATTCATGTTTTGGCCGAGTCGTCACACAAGATGTGGCTATATTATTTTATCGGATGATGAATTTAATTCTGCCACTTAAATACTGATATAGACGTATTATCTCCACTGCGTCTATTTGACCACTCTGATAATTTGATTAACACAGTGCAGTTCTCGAGTACTTAACACTGAACACAACAGGAAATATTTAATTTAAGGATAGCTCACAATTAATATTTTTGGATATTACACACACACGCGCGCGCGCGTGTGTGTGTGTGTGTGTGTGTGTGTGTGTGTGTGTGTGTAGAAAAAAGAGAGAGAAAGAGAGAGAATGTAAACGCATGTTTATTGCGCGCATGTAGTCAACTGATCGTCGCGACGGTCCCGCGTACCGCCTACCGGCGGACAGTAAGTTGCGTCGCCCCTGTCTACCATCCGTACGCGGCCCGTAATTTGCTAACTATTTCTCGTTATAATTTGAAAACTAAGCTTCGGATAAAATTTTTGTAAAGGAAAAATCGTCTTAGAATTAAGTCAAGAATACGTCTTTTCAAGGACGAGGAGTTGTTCTGAATCACCCTGTATAACGAGAACGCTGAAAGGAAGAAAGGTGAAAAACAGAAAAAAGAATAAATAAATCTTTACTATTTACATTATCTAATTATACGATACATAATATGAAGTGAAAAATTTAACAACTTATAGTATAAACAAAACAGTAAAATAACAAAATTATGTTAATATTGTTTTTTATTAATATTATTGTCTTTTAGAGTAACTATAAATATAATAACAGTACGTAATATAATAAAGTGGTTTTAATACAATTACAAATAATGTAAATATAATATTTATGCAATTGTTTAAACAAGGTAGTATTTACTTACAGCTACATGAAAGACAAGAGTAATTAAAATTAATCAGTGACATAAGCAAACCATAACGACAGCTACATCATTACTTGAGCTGTTATTTTATTATATTAGACTACTATGCAAATCGCACGGAAAATAAGTTATAAAAAGTTATGGTTTGTAATCGGTACAATAATGATATTCTTTATAAAAATATTGCTAAAATAGATTTACTTTTATCGTTATCCCTTGTTAAATGCAAAAATGCGATCAGAACTGCGTGAAGAATTGCGCGCAGCGTAAACGAGTACAGATGGTGTGTGTATAGAGGTGTTTGTAATTATTACTCGAAAATGATAATTTGGAAAATAACTTTATCACACATGGTTGAATTTGTATTAAAATAACCTTTAATTTGGTCATAACAAAATTAAAAATTTTAAAAATATATAAAGTGATGGAGGAACATTAAAAAAAATTAAAAAATTTTTGTATTACTATCATAAAGTACACTTCAAGCCATTCAACTTTGATTTAGAACATTTTTTTCTATCTCTCATAGTTTCGGCGATATTCATGTCGAAAGAAAAAAACCGATTTTTTTTAAGGGGTGATTTTATCTCTTCAAAATGGAATATAGCACCAACGAAAAATAGTTTCGTACTACAGATGAACTGCTCTATTTTTACACAAAGTTTCAGATTTTTCTGAATTTTCGGGTTCCCTAACTTCCCTTGTAAGTTGATTTTTAAAAAATTTAGTTTTATATCATATATTGCATATATTCTTTAGAAGCAACTAAGTGTTTTTTTATTACAACTGATTCATATATTGAACTCATTATTTTTAACTTAAAAATACTAATGTAAGGAATAATTATCAAGAAATCAATAGTTTATGAGATATTTCCCAAACAGCACAGTACGTTCTCAGGATTATCCTGAATATGTCCCAGG